ATTATTAAAAACCAGGGATTTCGAAAAATCAACCTTCAATTGTGCCTCCAGGACCTTGTGATGTATATTGCCAAAAACTCTCCAGTTCCAATCTCGAAGCTAAGAAGCTACTTTTTTTTTGTAGTTTTCATAGTAAATGTCAGGGGCTGCCGGCCCCATCAATAATCCAGGCTTGTTAATTTGGCTAAGAGAATTGTCATGAGAAGTCCAAATATTCAAAAATTTGAAATTATATTTGGAATGAGTATTAAGGAAAGTCATGGATAAGAGAATTGGATTATGATCAGAGGCAGTATGATTAAGATGTTGCACATTAGAAACCTAAAATTAATACAACACATACCGTTTACCAAAGATCTGTCGAGTCTTTGGAAAATGAGGCCCCTTCTCCAAATGTAAGGACTGTCAGAGTAACTCTAGTCATACAGACCTGCATCAGTAAGCTTGTCACAAAATTTGTTAATAAGAGGCATATTACATTTGCTCCCTCCCTTCTTCTCAGAAGGATTCATCACCATATTGAAATCCCCACCAAGTCAATTATCAGATGATGTATCACCCATAAGAGCTAATTTGGTCCATAATGAGAATTTATCATGAATAGAATAGCCAGCCTAAACAAAAGTAGCCCAATTATGAAAGTCTTCCATTTTGAAGGAACAAAGGACAAATTGATCATCGTCTTCAACAATAGATAAACTGACTTTAGGTTTCTAAAAAACCCAAATCTTATTTTGATATTGCAGTAATGATTATAGTGTTTAAATTTCCTTTAATTTTTCTCTCTGTGCACAGAGACAAGAGGTTCAAGAATAGCAAAAATAAATAGTTTATGGACCTACATAAGTATTTTAGTCTAATAAAGGAGTATGAGTCAGCTACTCCCATAATATTTCAAACCATAATATTAAACATCATGAAATAACCCACTCTCCTTGAAATTTTAGTTAGGATGTGCTGCTGCTCTCCGTCAGAATGATAATTTTCATTAGTGATATTAGTGGTGTTCCCCTCATTGGGTTGCAGAAACTGATTATTCTTCTTCCCTTTTTTTGTATTTTTTTCGAATAATCCATTCATTTTCTAAATTAATAGTTGCCTCATTCAATTTTATATGCAGATCAACATCAGAGGTAATATTATTTGTAGTATTCTTCATACCATTTTCATCCTCCAAGACATGGTGAACATCAGGACCGTAGGTCCTACCTGTTGACACACCAAATTGTCAACAGGCGGTGTAGATGCAACCCCTACAAAAGTAAAATCATTCAGGTTAGAGGAAGTAATCCTTCCAGATTACCAACATTGACAGGTTTACAATCGGTATTTGTGATAAGAGCAGTAGGTGTGGGGTTTGAGTGAGCAAAGGCAAGAGGAATTCCTTCCAAAATTTCAGCATTCAGAGTATTACAATTAGTGGTAGGTGTGGGGCTTTAGTGAGCAGGAGCAAGTGGAAGGGGTTTGGAAGGTGCACCATTTATTTGAGATTTTAAGTGAGGATGTAAGTGATGACAGAGAGAGTTAGAGTGCCCAAACATACAACAATGAGAGCAATAAAGAGGATATGATTCAATCTCAACCCTTTATCAATATCTGTTATGTTGCGAATCAATCCAAATTTTTTTATGAAACATTAAAGTAATATCACGTTTAATCAGAACCCTAACTTCAGATGGTCGACCGAGATTGAAGGTAGGGATTTCTGTTTTAAGAGGTTTACCATATATCGTGGCGATAGAGTACAACAGTTCATGATTGAAGAGGTGAAATTTCAAACTTAGGAAGTGCAACCAGACATGGATGGTAGGGGGTTCTGTGAGCAGGTCGAAATGCATTTCCATTTCAAAAGCTTCATCGCGCGATTATCTAACTTGAGTAATCTCCTAGCAAATAAACGAGTGTAGTCCTCGTCGTTGAACGAGTATATGTCTCCCATCTAGTTGCCCGATTTTTCATTCCCCCACCAAATACATTAATTCGAACTCTTTTCAAATAACATCAAGTTTAGGTTGCCCATAAAGAAATTTACTGACCAGGGCAAGGAGACAAGAGGAAGCTAGGGTACAACATTTGATGTCAGAGATGAAAATAGCTGGTTTCCCGTTTTTACTGCCCCGCTTTCTTAATAAAACCAAAATCGCAACCAAAAGCTAAGGCGCCGTGAAAGGATTGCGGGAACATACAAGATTTAAGAGTGCTAGTAAATTTGTCACCGGCAAGGGCTTCGACGTATGTTAGATCGGAAGCCATCGTCGGAGATAGAAAAGGAGAAGAGGAGATGAGACCAACGATGCGGGTCGCCATAGAATCGTCTCGGAGGAAAAAAAAACCCTAGCAGAGCGGACCCCATCATCGTGTATTCAATTATATATATATATATATATATACCAATGACATTTTATTGAAATTGAAAAGATACATAGAGGTTGTATGAGAGGACACAAAAAAGGTGTCCTACCCGTACGATACATCAGACACAACATCCTAAAATGGTGAAACATAGATAAAACACAAAAACAAAACTTGCAGGAAATAAACTGCTAGGCACGAGCCAGCTTGGTCTTGCCTCTGCCTCTGGTTCTAGGAGCGGAGACAACTAACAAATTGCTGAGAAGTTACTAGAGTATCATCAATTAAGTTCCCAAGCTGGGGTGTGCCTCTATTCTTCTTTTTCTTTTTTGATGTGTATACCTGTCATTCCTCATCCGATGACTGACTCATCTGATCGGTGTGGTCAACAGATTGTTGGGCATGTGGGAGAGAATGAGCCCCCAGCTCCTGACTAGCAGTAACAACATTCTAATTTTGAAGAAATGGTAAACATATCTCTTCAACACCTGATGCATCCTTAGGTTGTGGAGCTTCAAGACTATCCTGATTATCGAACTCAAGTAAACCATCTGCCAATATATCAGTCGAAATAACAAAGACTGTATTGTCTCCGGTAGTGGGAGGGGGAGGTGGCATCGTGTCAACCGGTGTTTCAATAGTCTGTGGAATGCACTCAGGAGCGGAGGAGGGACATGTATGAGGTGGGACAGATCCAGAAGCGTTTTTACTTGAAGGTTTTAAATTCGGATGCAACTGATAACATTGAGAGGGAGAATGTCCAAACATACGACAATGGGTACAATAAAGTGGTATTTGTTCAAGTTCTGCTTGCTGCCAAAATCCCTGATGTTGTGTGTCAATCGATATTTCTCCCGAAAAAGGTAAAGTAATATCCCTTTCTATCAAAATTCTGGCTTCTGAAAGCCGAGTCAGATTTACTATAGGTGTGTCAGCTTTAAGGGATTTATCGTATACCATCGCTAAAGCGAAGAGAAGCTCTTGATAAAAAAGGTGGATCTTCAAACCTGGGAAGCACAACCAAACATGAATGGTAGGAGGTTCAGTACGAGGGTCAAAATCTACAGTCTATTTTAAAACCTTCATCACCTGATTTTCTATTCGAAAAACTCTTCTCGCAAAAAAATGGGTGTAGTTTTCGTCATTTGATAATTGAATAAGAATGTGACGACAATCTAGTTTACCGATCTTTCAACCCCCTTTCAGCTTCATTTGCTCAAAGTCCTTTCGAATTAGCTCAAGTTTAGGGTTTCCATAAAGAAACTTACCTACTAAAAACAGTTGGCGGGGCGTAGCTAGGGTGAAGATCTCTGCCTCAGTGAGAAAGATTGCAGGTTTGCCGTTTTTACGGGAAGCTTTTTTGAGAAATCCGGTTTCAATGTCAAGAGCAAAATTGTCGTGGTATCATTGCGGAAACATATTTGAAAGAGGGGCGGAGACGAGGTTATCACTGGCGAGGGCGGCGACGTAGGAATGTCCTGAAGTCATTTCTTCAGCAAGCTGTCGATCGGCACAGACGCAGACGCAGACAGCCGCGAACTCTGGCTAGCGGTCAACAACGTTGGCGGAAGGCGAGTGGGAACGAGTCGCTAGGCGATGGCTTCGACGCGTGGAAGACGACGCAGCTCGCGTCTTCTCCGCCGCAATCAACGACGCCAAGGCACAGACGCGTGAGAGAGTGGAGATCGGAGCAGCAGCGACAATCTAAACGCTAGGGTTTGCCATGGGGCGGAACCCTAGCAGAGTGACGGGACGACGAATATATATATATATATATATATATAATTACTGAACATACAAAATTACAATGGATTCCTTATGTTGTTTAGTGTTCTATTTTAACCGCAGTGTTCCTTTACACATTTAACCACTTCCAATATAATCTACCAGTGAATATTGAACTTGAAATTTCATTGTGAAACTGTTTAAAATGTTTGGGTGAATATCAAAGTTTTAAGTTTCGGTTTCTCCTCTCAAAAATTCTTTAATCATGAACTTTTCCCGATCGAGTGATTTAAATCTAATTTATTAATTTAATTTAATTTTGAGCATTGTAAAATTCCTATCAAAACATTTATTTTAACTAAAATCAGTAAAGAATTAAAACTCTTCCATAATTAGATTGGGTTTTCCTTGATCTTGTTGATTAGGGAAAG